AATTCTCCATAGCTGGTATCCTAACATAATTGCAGGACACAGCAGCCATTGGCACTCACCCCCTTGCATGGCAGGAACAAGCACGCTTCATGTTTCAAAAGGTGCACGTGTACAATGCACACCTTCTCTCTGCCTGTCCTTGCAACACTGAGCTCAGCCACTGCTTGGATATGTGGAGAGAGAGCTTGCACTGCATGCCTCTCATGTAGCCTGTGACATGTAGGTTTAATGGTACACTGTAACATTCACCTACCATGTAAGGGTTTAGGCAGACTTTTTTTACAATGTGATTCCCAATACAGCTTCATAGTTCCCAAGGTAGCTCTTTTTAGTACTACTACTGATTGCTACTAGCACAGATGGTGACCTTGATTTCCTTTACTACCCCACACTTACAGATGCTGGAATGGACCACCATAAAACAAATTTGGAGTATCTAGACTGCTATTTCTGCACAGTAGGGAGGGGGGGGAAGTGTATGATGTGTGGAAATGTACTGTATCTCTACCACCTATTGTAAGTCAGCACATTTATGTTCTGGTGAGACTATACCATTTCAACTTGCACTGAAGAGTTCATAAAGGAATTTTTTTTGCAATAAATATTCAGGTATTCCACATACTGTACTTATCTCTCATATGCAGAACATAATCACAGCTCTATGGAAAACAAAAACCAAAACAAAGCCAGATAGATGGTTAATTCCTTAATTATCCTTTTACATTAAGCCGTACTGGCTATGGGGCTTTTTGTATGTTCTCTTTTTTTGACCAAGGCCTTACTAGAGTTTGGTATTTTTGGAATAAGTATTTTATTCCTCTATTTTTTAGATTTCTTTTAGTCTTTAGTCCTGTGTAATTTTGTACAAAGTTAGTCAAAGTCCATCAAGTGTATTTTGGCTATGTACTCCATTTGTTTTTTGTTTTTTTAATATGCAGATTTTTTTTTCCCCATGCAATTTTAGGTCTTCTGCCTTTTTTTTGTATGATATCATTCTGTTGTTAGGTTCATATACAGTAGCTGGTTGCACCATATCTTTAACACTCATGGTTACCCCTATGGCAGGAGATTGTTCCAGACTCTTGTTCCTCCCTAACTGGATCTATTCTGTATAATCCTCCAATGCTGTCCTTGAAGAAAATTAGGGAAATCCAAAAATCTAGGGTTATGTTTACCAGTAGCTATTTCCATGTCTATTCTAGGACAGTTGGATTCCAACTGTTGTGTTATGTGGTCTGTTTGTTTTTTTTTGGGTATATATTTTGCTTTAGATTATGTTGTTTGATTCTGATTTACTACTGACCAGTTCAGGAGAAGTATTCTTTAAAGTATTTTTGGTGATGTGTTTCCTGTTGCTGTAGGAAGAGGTATTTTATCTCTCATTTGCTGTCTTGTAAAACTCGTGGAATTAGTGCTACCAGTAAGTCTGTTTTTCGAACAGATATGAGAAATGCTTACGGTGGTGTATTTAAAGTGGTTATAAACTCTTACATATACCCCGTGAAGTGACTGGCCTCAGGTGATACAAAGATTAAACACATCCTCCTACATACATTATACCTGTTTGTCTGTAGTCTTCTCTTCTCTACATCCATTCAAAGTCCAGAATTTATAAGATTGTCTGAGCTTCCAGGAAAAAGTGGGCGGAGAGCTGAAGTTACACTCTGCAGAGCTCAGTGAGGAGAGTTCTGAGAGCTGATTGGGAGGGAAGAGACACCCCCTTTCACACAGCAGACAGGACACAGAGCTGAGACTGTCAACCTGCTGGAGCTCCCTCCACCTTTTTTCTCTTGGTGTCAGGAAAACTTGTCAGAAGTGATTCATGCTGATAGCAGAGGAATGAAGCAGCAGACAGAAATGACACTTGGTGCTCTTAATTTGGGACAGTATACACTATAGAGGGATATACTTTGTTCAAATTTCATATCTGAGGTTTACAACCACTTTAAAGTATATGTAAATCCTAATAATCTAATTCCCTTATGTGCTCTCTATTGGGCTATTAAATATACCATTGAAAGTGAGCTAATAACGTCCTGCGCTCTCCACCTGTGTACACGACGGTGTTATGGAGATGAAGAGTGGAAAATGATATCTCATTATCTTTAGCACTTAATTATCTAAGCTTCCAGTAGAACTTATGCAGTGTAGTGTTAAAGAAAAATATTACCTTCTGAATGTAGAAAAAATAGCACTGCTAAAATATACTATAGCAGTGGTTCTCAATCTTATTGACCCAATAAATTCTTCCAAAACCAAATACAAATCTTTACAAATAAAATTATAATTACAAAAAATATAAATTGGAAGGCTGGGGGTTGCTGCAGGAGGGATGGGAGTCAGGGGACTGCAGCAGACTTGGTGGCCCTGCAAGGGGTGAGGTTTCTGTAGGCAACTGTTAAGGATGGGTTGTCTGATGCAGACTGGGGATCTCTCTAAAAGGCTGGGGACTTTGCAAGAGCACTGCAGAGGTTGGGAGCCCTATGGGGCATTGGAGGCTCTGTAACAAGTTAGGGGGCACTGAAGGGGCCTGGGAGTACTGTGAGAGGTTGAGCAGCACTGCGGGGACTAATGACTTTCTGGGGCACAGTGGGAGGTTGAGGGGCTCACTATGAGAACTGGCAGCCACAGTGTCAGGTTAGGGGATCTGCATCTGGCTGGAGGCCCAGGAGGAGGAAGGCTGTAGCCTTGCAGTGGGTCACAGCTCGGTGGTTGATACACACTATACTATAGTATCTCAAGCTATATTGATGATAGCCCAATAGGGAAAAAAAGCCTTACCAAGTATAAAGACAAAAATGAGGCCAGATTCCTTGAAGATGAGAGACCACAATCTCCCACTATAAAGAGTGGAGTTTTTTTTTTTTCTTATGGTTTTCTTGAAGTTGGGGTAATCACATTTTGGATAACATTTGCACATTTATGGTAAAAAAAATTTTTAGGATATATTTGGAAGCATGCCTATATATTAACAAAACAGTTTTCAGTTTTGTATTCATAGTGTGCTGCTGGCCAGCTCGCACCAAGTGCAAAAGCATTCCTTTTTACACACAAGTGCATAACTTTACATTTGTCATCATTAAACCGCATGTCCCACATAGTTGGCCAATAAACAGTGCATTGGGGTTGGCTTGTAAGTCATCCTGTAAGGACATTAGTCAAATAGATAGCTTGGTTTTATCTGCAAAAACAGAAATGGTACATTTAATCCCAAACTCTATGGGGTTAATTTACAAAAGCTGGAGAGTGCAAAGTCTAGTGCGGCTGTGCACGGTAGCCAATCCGCTTCTAACGTAGCTTGTTCAGTTTAGCTTTGTCAAACCTGGAAGCTGATTGGTTTCTATGCAGCACTGCACCAGATTTTACACACTGCAGTTTTAGTAAATTGCCCCCGATATAATTTATAAATAGGTTAAGAAGTAAGGGTCCCAACACTGAACCTCGGGGTACACCACTAATAACCTTAGACCATTTAGAGTACAAATCATTAATCATCACTTTCTGAATATGGTCTTTTAGCCACATTTCTCCCATTTACATTACACTTGTAATTTTTATAAATGAATATGAAGTCTAAATCGCTGAGTTGGCTACAGTATACAAATGTGCAAAGAAAGGGTTAGTTTTGTATTTTTACCTTTCTGATAGCAACAAAGAGAAAAAATGTTTTTTGCAAAAAAGTAAAGCAGCACAAAAGATGCAAAAGCCACAGACTTGCTATATATAAGACAATACAAAGGGAGTCCTCAGTACACCTTGCAAACTAGCCATAAAAGAATTCAACTGTCCCAAGATCGCTGCTTGAATCATGAATGGTTTACTTTCTTTGGTCAGATAAGAAGCTGTTGTGGGCATGGAAATGTAAAGCTTTCCCGAAAACGCTTATTACTTGTACATGTGGTTTAAGCTCTGACCACTTCGGTTGTACATCTGTTACATTTGGTTGCATAGGTATCTCTGTCTGCTGCCCAGGTTAAGAACATCAGGGTCAGGCAACCAGATCTGTGCTAATTTGCAACTTGCAAAATAATTTAAAATAAATCTCCTTTGTTTTGTTGTGGGTTTTAAATAGTATGTTTTTTGCCTATAGGGAACAAACAATGAAGTATGTCCACCCTCGAAAAAGAAAAATACCAAGATAATATATATATATATATATATATATATATATAGAATTATAATAAATTCATAACCAACTAATCTCTTTCTGTGTTATCAGATGATGGTGATGCATAATGCAGATCCTGTGCTGAGCTATTTGTTGGCCACTTAGTATTTTTCTCGAAGCACAGCAAATGTTTTATTTCTCATCCCTACTCATTTATCTGCTAGAGAGAATGCGTGTGTATTTCTCCAGTAGGATTGATTTTCAGAGACCAAGCATTAATAATAAGGTCATCCATGCCTTGAGTGCCGTGCATTAAGTGACAGTAGTATGGCCTTTTTGTCATTCAGAAGTGTCAAGGCATCGCATGGCCGTCCCACAAAGTAGGTAGATGGGGTCTTTCAGCTGCCACAGTCGGTGCCTTGATGTCTGCCAGAGTAACCTGGAAGGTATTTGTGTTGTCAGTCACTGAGACATCACATTACTTTAAACTGTAACACAGCCTATGTGCGGTTAGCTGTCTTATCCATCAGCATGAGCAGATGGAAACAGTACATCATTTTAATGCACCTATTAGGAATACCCCCATAAGGAGACAGACAGAGACTTATCCTGTGCAAATGGAAGATACTAGGAGTTATGTTCATGTCTGTTGTCTAAATATGAAGCTGTTCTAGTGGTATTAAATAATTTTATATATTTCAATGTACACTACCACAGGAACTGGGTTCATGGAAACGTAGCTTTTTCATATAAAGTTAATGCATTTTATATTTTGTTACCTGGAAGGTAATTTTAGGCATTTGATCATGGGTTGCTACTAACTGCTCAGCATCTGTCTTGCCTTAATAAGCCATTTGGGATTGCATCCATTTAACAGTGTTTGTTTTTGTAGGTGAATGAGCAGTTTGCTATTCAGTTGATTGCGGAACAGCCTATTAATGAATCTGAAAACCGAATTGTATCATGTGATGGAGGAGGTGGAGCTTTGGGCCATCCTAAAGTATACATTAACTTGGTGGTAAAGTTGAAAAGGACATTGCTGGGATCTTATTAAAGGGCACCTATGCTATAAACTATGAAAGAAAATGTTAATGGCAATGTTGATGAATAACTGCATCACCAACAAGGTCCTGAAAGCCCTTTTCAAAAGCGTCTTAGCTGGTCCAATTGAGAGTTTATACGCTGTGCTCCAAAGGAGTACAAACTCTCCAGAAAATCTAAAAGAAGTTTACAGCACATTCGCTGACCCAGCTCTGCAGATTCTGACGAGTGGCCGTGCAAGCTTGGTGGTAATATCTCGCTGGATTAGGACCGGTGGGTATTAGACTGGTGAAGGGGCTTGGACCAAGACTAGATCACATAAAACTGTATTCACATCAAATGTATAGTTAGCCTTTATTGCTGCTTCAAAAGTGTTTCTTATGGCTGTTTCCTCCACAAAATGATGATTTCCCAGGTGCTGTCATCTTCTTTCTGTTATGCATGATTGTTGGGTCTGCACAACCTGTGCCCTCAGAGAGAGCTACTGAGAGGAATACAACATTTCTACAACCTCTGGCAAAAAGTATGGCGTCACCACTCTTGGAAAATGTTCATTCAATTGTTTAATTGTCAAGAAAAAAACTAATCACAGACATGCTTCAAAACTATTTTCATTTAACATTCCAACCTTCTGGCTTTAGGAAACACTTAGCCCTGGTTCACACTGATGCGGTGTGGAATTTTTTCTGTGCAAATTCTGTATCACACCCCGTTCATGCGGACCACTGCGGGTGTGTATGCGGTACACAAAACGTGGTGCGATGTGCAGAATCAGATTGCATAGGTGTGAATACCCATGTGATTCGATTCTAGTGTGGACCCAAAAAAGGGTACTGCACCTTTTTGGTGTGATTAGAGCCATACAAAATGTATGTCTCCAATCGCACCACACACAAACCGCATGTGATTTGCACAGGAATGTGGTGCGGTTCCTGTGCGAAACACATGCGATATACCACGCCGTATATTTGTGAACCCAGGCTCAAAAAGAAAAAAGAAAACTGTAGTCAGTTGCAGCTGTTTTTTGCAGATCAAACAGAGGAAAAAAGTATGGAATCACTCAATTCTGAGGAAAATATTACAGCATCACCATGTATTTTGCAGTTCTAAAACCTCCATCTGCATCATATTACATCTACTAATTAGTCTGAAGTTAAAAAAAAAAGAGTGCTTGCACACCTTTGTGAGCTGTTGCACCAAGCTGATTGACATGAATCATGGCTCCAATACGAGAGATGTCAGCTGAAACAAAGGAGAGGATTATAAAACTTCAAGAAGGTAAATTGTCACGGAATGTTGCCAACATTCCCACAAAAGAATATGTACAAAGGAAACCAAGGATGCAAAAGTTCAAAACGAACAACAGATTGCAAAAGAAAGAAGAACAAAACCCCAAAAACTTTCAAATATATTAATAGTAGAAAGGTCAGGTCTGAACATGTAGGCCCTTTACAAAATAGTCTGGAGTGGGTGACTGGGGACAAAGAGAAGGCAAATTTATTAAATACCTTCTTCAACTATGTATACAAAGGAGCATGGGGGAGCTCATGTCCGTAATGGGGATGATGTTGACACAGCTCCAGATGATACACAATGAATCAACATTGGTATGGTCCAGAAATATTTAGACTGTTTAAAGCACCTGGACCAGATGGTATACACCCACGGATTCTAAAAGAATTGAGCTCTGTCATTTCAAAGCCATTGTTTATAATATTTAAAGACTCTTGAATGACTGGCATAGTGCCACTGGACTGGTGTAAGGCCAATGTGATGCCTATATTTAAAAAGCAATAATGTTGAGCCAGTGGAGACGTCATGTGAGAAATGTATATCCTGACCTACTCTTTTTAAGGCTTTTAACTGTGTGCACTGTCCTGGAGAGCTGGAAAATTAAGTCACGTTCCCTCATCAAAAAAAAAAAGAGATACTGCCTTTAAAAGTATAGTGTACCTGAAGTGTAATGCTTTATTCAAATGAAAATTTGTTTAATAAAAATGTGTTTTAGAATTATTATTATTTTTTTTTTTTTTTTGCTCAAGTCAAGTGCAACTCTTTGTACTGTCCTGTTCCACTAAGGGTACATTTTAAAAATAATGCAGGATTGAGCTGGAGGGGAAGATCAAAGTAAAGACAGAAAGACAGTTAAAAAACTATTAAGTGTTATGGAAGCAGTAAAAAGAGGGCTAACTAGTAATTGTTTGCCTCCTTGAAGGAGGCCAATCTGCTCCTGTGAAAGAAAAAAATGTGCTGTGACGAATGCATGCTGAAATTATCATTTCCATATCACTGACAGTAAAATTGTTTCGGAGGACTTGCTCTTCCTTTCAAAGTCGTAGCTGTCCCTGTTCTGACATGAGCCCAGATGTTTGTGTATGTGTGTGTATATATTAAACACATAGTATTGTGCAAATGTTTTAGGTACTTTAGAAAAAAGCGGGAATGCTTTAGAATAATACCATGAAAATCTTTGGTGCAGTAAACAATATTTCGTTTGACCACCCTTCACCTATTACACAGCAGCAATTCTTAGGTACGCATCCATGCACTTTCTGAAGATACTTGTGTGGTAATTAGTTTCAATAATTCTGATGAATTTGCCTCAGTTCCAGGAGGCTTTGAGTCTTCTCTCTAATCCATTGTTGTGAGATCAGAGCCTTGTGGGAGCCTTATCTGTTGCACAATTCCTCATTTTGGTTTTCTCTGTAGATCATTCTTTCTTTATGATTTTGGTTGTGTTTTTAGGGCCATTGTCATGTTGCAGAATTAATTTGAGACCTATCAGACCCCCCCCCCCCCCCTCTTCAATGATATGGCGTGGTGAATAAAGATCTGTCTTTTTTAAAGCTTTGAGGGTGATATGTATTTTAACCAAATAAGTAACTTTTTGCAGAAATGCAGCCCCTAAATTATAAGGAACCTTCCACTGTGCCACATTGTAGATATTCCGCCATGTACAGTTCTCCAGCCCTTTGACAACCTACCTTTTTCAGCGCTAAATACTTTTAAATTTTAACTTCTCAGTCCAGAACACCTACTGGCACTTTTCTGTACTAGTTCTTGTGGTTTTTGAGCAACAACCCTGACCCTCTACTAATTTTGTCCAAATTAATAATTCAGCTAGTACACACGACCAGGATATCACACAAAAATACCGCTTTAGAAGTGATCGTATGATAATCTGATCGTTGGTACACAGCTTTCGAGAGCAGATTATGACCGTTCATCCGAAATGATCTTAAGGGACAAAAACTAAATTTTTTTTTTCTCATGCGATACCAGATCATACGATTTTTGTTTAATCAGCACAGTTTTCATCCAAAAATACAATACAAATCAGGGTGGATTGATTTAAATCAAGTTGATTTCAAGTTGATTTCAAGTTGATCAAGTTAAAATCACTAGTGAAAAGGCTCGATTTAAATAATAATTTTTAAAGAGCAACTGTCATCTCTGTCCTGCAGTGACTCCTCTTCTGACCCGCTGTTGACTCACCAACAATCCCATTCACTTTAATGGGACGATTGGTGATACAACAGTGACACAACAAGGTGATGGACGTGGCGGCAGCAGGTGAGTGGATGCCCGCTAACAGGCGCTGCCATGATGGATCTAAAATGACAGGTGCTCTTTTAAAAGTAAGGAATCCAACTCATTCTTGCTGGTAGTTAGAATCCTTCATATTTGCGAACCAAATGAAGGTTTCCTTTTTAGAATAATAAGCTGTCCGGTTACTAAAACAGCGATATCAGAACCGATTTTAGGTTAATAGGTTGATCAAACATAGCTGGAGAACGACTCAAATTCTTTTATTTCATGTTTTTTTTCTCATGGTTACTGTGAAATTGTGTGAATGTATTAATGCAGTGCGTATTATCTCAGCTTGCAGAACTTGGATTCATTGAATGAGTTTACCAAAAATGTAAATATTGCAGAATATACAGCCTCATGCTACATAACTAAGCTCCATTTCATGCTGAATAAGCTAAATTATTAATGTATCTTAAATAGAAAACTATATTTAGATAGATTTTTACTCCAAAAGCATTTTATTAAATTTGATAAATCAAAAAACCCCAATTTAAATTAAAAAAAAATGTTTTTTTTTTAAATCAGCAATTTTTATCCACCCTGATACAAATACAATACATTACATCACTTCCAAAATTCTATTCTGTCATATAAGGATTTTCATAAGTTGTGTAACCTCGTCATTTTTGATGTGTCTATGGGAGGCTGCACACAGCTTTTTGGGCGAGGGTGGGGGAGGGACATCAGACTTTACATTGGAACAGACTTGGATGCCCCTGTGCAGAGTCCTTGGGGGTTAATTTAAAAAATTGAAGAGTACAGAATCCGGTGCAGCTCTGCATGGCAGCCAGCCAGCCCTCTAACTTCAGCTTGTTCAGTTAAGCTTAGACAAAATAAAACTGGAAGCTGATTGGTTTCTATTCACACCTGCACCAGATTTGCATCCTCCGCTTTTAGTAAATCAGCCCTATAGTGTTATATAAGAGGAAGATCTTCCTCTTTCAGAAGACAAACTGCAAATTGAAACTCCAATATATGGTATATTTAAGACCATTTGATTGGGGTTCTCTTTAAGGCTTCTGTTTATCAATTTCTTGCTTGCACTTTTTTGGCTGGATTTATTTAGTACATGAGTCTCATGTTTTATAATTAAAAGAAAATGTAGATATACTTTTGTGTGTGCAATTTTACAATACATATGTATCTCCTAGATTGTAAGCTCCCAGGATCAGGCCCTCCTATCCCTCTTGTATTGAACTGTATTGTTGCTGTATTGTCTCCCTTTATATTGTAAAGCACTGAGCAAACTGTTGGTGCTATATAAATTCTGTATAATAATAAATTATTTAAACAACCAAACTAAAGTTCAGATAAATCTGTGAGGAGGGCTCATTGAGGAGTTGTGCATCAAAGTGTTGTGATGTGTAACTGGCTGTAAGATAACATTTCTTGGCATTTAGGGCTGTACATTGAGACAAAGTGTGACGGGAAGGATTGAGCACCACTGATGTTAATACTGTTTATATGACCACCAATATTGGTACAAGCCACAGTAGTGCAGAACAGGATCTTGGGTAAAACTGGACATTTGATATTTTGGCATCATTTTCAATAGTGATCTAGTTAACGCTACAAAATAGTACACATTTTACCATGGGGATTCATATTTTTACAAAGTAAGATTTGCATGGGCTGCCATTGTTTCATTAAAAAGAACCTGCTATTAAAATAAATATTGTACAAGTTACTCTTCTATTTTCTTCTTGTTTAATACTTTATTTTTTGTTAAAGTGGAACTCTAGTACTTAAGCCCCCCACCCTTTCTCCCATCAAGCCTTAACTACCCCCTCCCCTTCCTCATTTTATTTAAAAAAACAAAAATGGGCTAGAAGACTGCAGGACCATTTTTACTGCAGTCCTCTAGCTGGTCCAGTGACCTCATGGCAGCTTTCTCTTCTTCCAGGACTGAGCGTGTGAGCCCCTCTCAGTCCTGGAAAACTGTGAACCCAGCCTGTGTGGTGATGTGCTCCCTAGGGGCAGTGTAAATGACAGGCTCACAGGAAATGAGCAGAGTGATAGGAGTTTCCTGTCCAAAGAGACTGCTGGCACTGGACCAAGGAGGAAGCTGGGGACAATACTGGATCATGGATATCGTAGGTAAACGTTTATACAAAGTGTGTGTAAATCGTTAACTATTAAATGAATAATGTAACTGCGTATAATGATAATGCAATACATTCATAAAGTATTATTGTTTTTCTCACAGGACAAAGAAACAAAATCTGGAACTTGTGGATATTGTGGGCTTCAGTTTAAACAGAAGCATCATCACTAAAATGTGCAATAAAAATGACCTATGTAAACATAATAAAAGTGTATAATAATTCAGATGTTGCTGTCTTCTCTTTTTTGACGTTTTGTGTATATGCTGTGATGGCCTTAAATTGTGCTTCCTTCAAAACTATGTAGCCATACTAAAGTGTAAGAATTTTAAACCTGTCATTTATGTTAATGTCCTGCCTCAGTTGAGATACCTATTGGTTATGTTGCATGTAAAGGCGACATGGCCTGTGGTGTTTTTTTTCCTGATCATTCAGATTTTGTTATGCTGTAGAGTTAGAACAAAGCTTAAAATGTTCCAAGCTATGCATAAATAGATTTGGACAATTTTTCATATAAAATAATAAACATCTGATTTATTTTTTTTTTAAAATGGATTGGCTGCAGTGTACAATATTTCTGCAGTCCATTCAGAGGCGGTTTAAACTGACTACACCTTAGAGCTGCATATGCATAAAATGCAATGATATTTTTGTTTTTTCACGTTATCTGTACTAGGCCATATGAGGTAATGAGTAAAATCACATGACTGAACCTAGTTATCCATGCATTAAAAAGCAAAACTGTTGAGAATCCCAACTTGCATCTGAGACTGTGTAAAGCTGGCTATACAGTGAGTGAATTTCGGACAGTTTCTGATGAACTGAAATTTGCTCAGTGGGTGTCACTGTCAAGCACCTCCTGTCCAACATCCCTTGAACAAAAAAAAAACCAAAAAAAAAAAACCAAGGAGCCTGGCAGAAACTTGTCGCTCAACATCACCTGCATCCAATCAGATGCAGGCACTATTCAAGTATGTTGACAGCTTGTGGTGCCTGTTATACCAAAAAAAGAAAAAGCTGATAATATTTTAAATAAAGCTGACAGAATTCTGTATAATATATATTATTAAATTGATTAGAGAATCTCTGCCCTTAGTCCCAGACTCCTTCCCAGCAAATTGTACCCAGCCTGTTGTTGAGGTGGAGGTCTCTAAGTCTTACGTCTGATTCAGAATCTGGGGATGAATATCTAACCAAAGAGGGGGAGGGTCACAATAGTGAGACTGAACCCTCTCTTAGGAAAAGTGTTTTTTTTTGGTTTTTTTTTTTTCATGCTTCAGCCAGATGATACAGCAATCCTAGTAAAAGTACTTTACTTTAAGTTTACTAGATATCAGAATACTCAACCTGAATTTTCATAGGTTTTTCAAGTGTTTGATACCATGAGTGTCTTTATAACATCTTTGGTGACCTGATCCAGATAAGAATCTATTCCCAGATCAAATAAACACAAATATCTAAAGTATTTAATGAGAAAGACATGGGTACATTTATTAAATGTCACAGGATGTGGCAGTATCTAAATGAATGGGGAACTTCTCTCTCACTTTTGCTGGCACAGACGTAGAGATTCTTTTGATAGTAATAATGACTTTTTATTAAAGCACAACTGGGATTCCTCAATGGCCACATTTTTGCCTTTTTTTGGCATCATCTGAAAAGATTCTTAGAGATATAATTTGAGCATTTAGGAGATTAAAGGGGATACTGCAAGAAAAGGAATTCCTTTATCATCCATTGAGGGACAAAGAAATGTAGTAATTTGAAAACCATTTGTGTTATACTGCCGCCTTCCAGAGGTTAGGACACTGGCAATTAAATGTTAAGCCAGTCCTGCATAACCCCCACCTCTACCCATCACACCTCTGGCTGGAAAGCTCTTCAGAAAGTCTAACCATTTTTTTTTCTTTTGCTGTTTAAGCTGTCTATACATAACAGCTCTCATGATAAATTTATTCTCAGGGAAAGCTTTGGAGGCCATACTCCGACCTGGCTGGAATAATAATTGCAGCCTGGAATGTAACCTTAAGGCACTTAGCTCTGCATTTTGACGATTTCCAGACCTGTGTGTACTATTAGTCACAGAGCGCTCTCCAGGTTCAGAGCCGTACCACAGCTTCCAGCAGGACCCCGTCTCTGAAGACTCACAGTGATTAGGCCTCTGGATGTGTTGAGGCTAGGCTGGAATGTTACCTTTGGACACTGGGCTCTGCATTGTTGCACTTTCCAGACATTTGTGTACTGGGTTGGTTAGCCACAGGATGTTCTCTGGGTCCAGAGGTGTGGCACAGCCCCTGCTCTGATCTAGTCTGGGGACTCACAAGTGAGTGCCAGTCAGACTAAAGCATTAGGGGTTACTTCCGTGTAGGCACCTTTTTGGGCTTCATTGTCATCTTAATACAGTAATTGTTAACGCTGATGTCATCTGCTAGGTGGAATGTTGCGCTTTGAGTGCTTTTCTTCCACCATCCAGCCTAGGAGTACCCACTGCTGCTCCATCTTCTGATGCATTTGTGGATCATCTGGTCATCCAGCTAGTTTCACTTCCTGTATCTAGTATTTTGGTCACCTCTAGCCATCAGTCCTCGAGTATGTATGTGAGGCTTTGCATTGCGCCTAATTGTTTTTCCACTAAGCAGTGCAACATATTTTTTTTTAAAGACCCCTGCAAAGGAAAGTCCTGCTGCAATGGATGGCCTCTGCCCATACACCACCACTGTTGCTCATGGTAATTTTTTGATATCCCTACAAGGGACCAATGTCTGTAAGCTAGATCCTGGGACCCCTATTACTACTGGGTGATCTTTATATGAGTTTCCTATAATTCCCCAGTCCAGAAGACCACTAAAATTCACTTCAAATTTTTGTGGGCACAATTATTGGAGCAATTAGGTTGCAGGAGCTCTGGTACCATCCATAACATAATATAAATATGACTGTACTAGACCTCCACCCTTAAATGTTCCTGAGGGCCCTATTATACCATCTCTGATTCAGAATCCAAGTCCTCCCTATTACCATCTGTGATTCAGTTTCAGAGTCCACACACTTTTCCTAACAAGACTGCATTTCAGCAATTTCCATATTACTATAATTTACAAGGAATGTTTGATATTCTAATTGATGCTGTATTTGCTACCCTTCAGTTGGAGGATCAACCTGCTGCTCTCAGCATAGAATCTTTTCGGGGTTCCTATGGCTGCCTTTCCAATACACATGGCATGTAAAACATTCCCTTATGAGAACTGTGACTAGAAACCACTAGTTGAATCATGGCTCCCTCCTGGCAATGTGAAGGAGTTTTTTTTTTTTTTCCAGATTCCACTGGTCCTGTTGACTCCTAAGGTGTTGCTTCTAGTGGGAATCACTTCTGCGAGAAGGGTGTCGGAGCTGGCAGCTCTATCTTGCAGAGAACCATTTCTGGTTTTGCATCCTAATAAGGTGGTGTTGTGACCTTATCTGTGCTTGGTTTCTAGTTTTCATCTAAATCTGGAAATAGTTCTGCCTTCATTCTTTGCTAGGCCTCAGTCAGCAAGAGAAAGATCTCTGCATACCTTGGATGTGGTTTGTGCTGTAAGGGTCTTCTTGAAGGCGGCACCACAGTTCAGGAGGTCAGATGCTTTATTTGTGCTGCCAGAGTGGTCTAGGAAGGGGCAGGTGACATCCAAGGCAACTATTTCTCATTGGATCCATCAATTGATCATTCAAGCCTGTGGTTTGAAAGGTAAAGTCCACCCTTTCGGGTGAAGGCACACTCCACCAGGAGTGTGGGGGCATCTTGGGTTATCCACTATCAGGTGTCAGTGGCTTAGGTTTGCAAGGCTGCTAAATGGTCTTTGGTTACACATTCACATACAAGGTAGAAGTCAGAGCCACAAAGGATTCTGATTTGGGCCGCAGTGTTTCACGGACGCTGAGTAGATCCTAAGGGATTATTGTCGGTGACTATCATGGTGTCACCCTCCCCTTATATTTCTTATTGCTTTGGGAGATCCCACATAGACAGGAGTAGCATACTGTTTGTCCCGTGATGTATGATAAAGAAAATTGGATTTTTTTCTACATACTTACCTGTAAAATCCATTTCTTGGAGTACATCAAGGGACACAGACGTCCCCACCCCCCTTTTTGGAATGTCATTGCTTGCTACAAAAACTGAGCTACTTCCTGTATGGGGGGCAGGGTTATATAGGGGAGAGCCTCCTCTCAGATTGGTCAGCCAGTGTCCATTCACCTATAGGTGGCCTATAACCCACCTAGTCATGAATAGCCTGCTCTGTGTCCAGTGATGTACTCCAAGATATGGATTTTACGGGTTCGTATGTGCAAAAAAATCCAATTTTCTGGTTGGATCACCAGATAAAAATAGAAGAAAGCCTAAAAAAGAAAACTAATAGAACCATCACCTCTAAGAATTGGTAAGCTACAATATAATGTTTGCTTTTAATACCTCTTTAAAATTCAAAAGCAGGCACAGTAGTTTCAGGTAACAAATAAGATAACATCGAGGCTGTGAATGTCTCTTTCATGACTTCTAACCACTGTACAGCATGCCTTATTGCAGAAATTTGCAAATAGCAATTCCAATGTATTAAGACTAGGATATTTAATCATTATTTACTCTTAGCCAATCTTCCTCAAAGATTTCACGGGAATACCACAGATCTAATAATAACTACAGATGCAAGTAGGAAAGGGTGGGGAGCCCAGTTTGGAAAGCTGTTTTAGCTTAGAATATTCTTTTTCTTCAAATCACTGAGAATTTCACATGTGAGAGATCCCTTTAGAAAACTAAAGATGTTATTTCAATGGACATACTTGAACAAGCAAGGGGGCCCAAGTCTGGAGTACTTCCAAAGCTCTTGTGTCTATCTTCAGCTAAAAGCAAATGGCAAATTTCCTCAGCAGGAAACACGAATGAAAAGAAAGTTTTCCCTAAACTGTCAAGGTTTCCAAACACACTCCACAGTTCAGAATTCCACAGATAGATGTATTTGAATTCAAGATATTGTCTCATCTTTTCCTTGAATTCAAGATATTGTCTGGATCAGAACCGGTCTCAGATGCTTTGCTACAGGGTATGGGATTGGGTGGGGAGGAGCCTAAACATGGCGGCGCCGGAGAGCACGATGTGAGTGCTCTCTGATAACCCACGAGTTGACCACCACGACAA